AAAGATGGAAAAATAAATTCCAGCTCAGAAATAGATGTGCTTCCTTGCTAGTGCATTAGATAAGATCTAACGTTGGTATAATAACTACCAAAATTTCAAAATAATGATGGAGGTAAACAGAATGTCAAGATATATTCTGGGGCTTTGCGCCGAGGTAGGAGGGGGGAGTGGAGGCGGGAGTGAAGTCTCACGAGAAGAGGCGGTTGCCCTAGCGGAGCCCTCTGGCTGTGTGTGGCTGAGGCTTCGGCGCCAGAGCCGCGGACGGTTTGCTGAATCCGTTAGTGCGCTCGACCGAGACCCGCCGCCGCCATGTCTCACTGCCTGCGTCCCCCAAACACGTCTCTGTTCGTCAGGAACGTGGCCGATGACACCAGGTCTGAAGATTTACGGCGTGAATTTGGTCGTTATGGTCCTATAGTTGATGTGTATGTTCCACTTGATTTCTACACTCGCTGTCCAAGAGGATTTGCTTATGTTCAATTTGAGGATGTTGGTGATGCTGACGATGCTTTCTGTCCATAATTTGGACAGAAAGTGGATTTGTGGACGGCAGATTAAAATACAGCTTGCCCAGGGAGATCGGAAGACACCATATCAGATGAAAGCCAAGGAAGGGAGGAATGTGTACAGTTCTTCACGCTATGATGACTATGACAGATACAGACGTTCAAGAAGCCGAAGATACGAAAGAAGGAGATCAAGGAGTCGGTCTTTTGATTACAACCATAGAAGATCCTATAGTCCTAGAAGCAGTAGACCGACTGGAAGACCACGGCATAGCAGAAGCCATTCCGACAATGATAGATTCAAACACCGAAATCGAACTTTTTCAAGATCTAAATCCGATTCAAGATCACGGTCTCCAAGTCCCAGCCCAAGAAAGAAATGAAGGCTAAATCACGTTCTAGGTCTGCATCTCACACCAAAACTGGAGGCACCTCTAAAACAGATTCCAAAACACATTATAAGTCTGGCTCAAGATATGAAAAGGAATCAAGGAAAAAAGAACCACCTAGATCCAAATCTCAGTCAAGATCACAGTCTAGGTCTAGGTCAAAATCTAGATCAAGGTCTTGGACTAGTCCTAAGTCCAGTAGCCACTGATAGTATAAACCATGGTCATTTTTAGGCATGTATCATTTACTCATAGTTTGGTTTACTGGAATACAATATTGCAATGATGCTTAAAAAACAGGTTAGTTTTCCCTGGACTAGGCAATGGTTATAATTAAAATGATATGCTGTTGAGAAGCCATTCTTAAGAGTCCAGTTTGTTTAATGTTATGGGCAGCTACCAATTTGTGGTGTCTCTGCATATTTTTGTGAAGATTCTCATTTTTTATGCTTGAAGTATTTGGTGAAATGTTGGTTGGCCATAATTTGCAACATTGTCTCATTAAAAATAAACTTTCATATTCATATTTGGTAGAACTGTTAACCTAGAAATGTAGCTTGCTAATAAGATAGAATGATACAAAAGTGAAGTAGTAGCCACAGTACAGCACTGACTGCTCAGACACACTTAGGTTCAGGATGGGCCTTTATGTCTTGTCAAAATGTCTAGGCCCAGCCCGGCGCGGTGGCTCACACCCGTAATCCCATCACTTTGGGAGGCCAAGGCAGATGGGTCAGCACTGTTTACAATAGCAAAGACCTGGAACCAACCCAAATGCCCATGGATGATAGACTGGACAGGGAAAATGTGGCACATATACACCATGGAATATTATGCAGCAATCAAAAACGATGAGTTCGTGTCCTTTGTAGGGACATGGATGAAGCTGGAGACCATCATTCTCAGCAAACTGACACAAGAACAGAAAATCAAACACTGCATGTTCTCACTCATAGATGGGTGTTGAACAATGAGAACACATGGACACAGGGAAGGGAGCACTACACACTGGGGTCTGTCGGGAGGAATAGGGGAGGGACAGAGGGAGGTGGGAAGTTGGGGAGAGACAGCTTGGGGAGAAATGCCAGATATAGGTGAAGGGGAGGAAGGCAGCAGATCACACTGCCACGTGTGTACCTAAGCAGCAATCTTGCATGTTCTTCACATGTACCCCAAAACCTAAAATGCAATTAAAAAAAGATATATTCTGAGATAACTGCAACAACTGGATTGGTATCTAATAGCTGATAGCCACCATCAAGTATCTGTGAGGAAGTCAGCAATAATACCATTAATAGCACTATGATTCGTTCCCCATGTTCATAACCTTAGTTTGATGTTAGTGAATAGATAATAGTTTCCCCCATTTAACTTCGTGGATCCTCGGAATTCCATGCCCCAGTTAAGAATCTCATGATGCAGGAAGAACAAGTCAGCGAATTGTGCTCCAGCTTGACAGGCTGCCCAGGAGGTGGGATGGGGACACAGGGCCAAAGCCATCGAGGTTAATGAAGGCTTCTGGATGGAACTTTGGAACAGGTCTTGGGTTTTGATCCATAGATAGAGGGAGATCCATCACAGACAGAAACAAAGAGGGGAAGGGAGCCATGTATTAAACACACTGGTGAGTCTGACCTTTTTTTTTTGATACAGAGTCTCACTCCAGTTGCCCAGATTGGAGTAGTGCAGTGGTGTGATCTCAGGTCCCTGCGGCCTCAACCTTCTGGCTCAGGAGATTTTGCCACCTCAGCCTCCTAACTAGCTGGGACTCCAGGTGCCTGCCACCACACCCAGCTAATTTTTTGTATTTTCAGTAGAGACTGGGTTTTGCCATGTTGCCAAGGCTGGTCTCAATCTCCTTTACTCACGTGATCTGCCCACCTCAGCCTCCCAAAGTGTTGGAATTACAGGCGTGAGCCACCATGCCCAGCCTGTTGCTCCCTTTGGAGTATGGAAATGGGGTCTCAAAGTGACGTGACTTAACAGAGCCCAGCCACTGGACGTGGCAGGCCCTGGGAAGATAGCTCTGGGTTCAGAGTCCCAGCTCATTCTCCCTACACCCCAGCAGTCACAGGGAGCCTGAAGCTGAGGACACCCTCAAATGCAAGTGATCATGCTCAGGATAGCAGGTGAAAGCTGGAGCTGGGGAACCAGATGGCCTGGTTTCTCCACTTACTATGTGTGTGATTTGAGGCATTTTTGAAATGTATTTAACTCCTTTCTTTTTTTAACTGTGAAATGGGAACAATAGTTATTACCTCTGAGAGCAACTAAATGCAACTTATAAAAGCATTTGAAGCACATAGAACATGATATCTGGCACAGAGTCATCCTCTGATACTTCTACAGAAATTTCTTCTCGAATCAGCAGAGTGAGCACCACCCCAACCCCCTCCTTGCCTCTGACCAGAGAGTTCTAGGTGGACAGGGTAGAGGACACCAGGGTCCAGGAGGGTTGGCCTGTCCTTAGTCCAAGGGGAGGGTAACTAGCCATTCAATCATCGTGGGTAAGGAGACACCAGCATCAGCAGAATCCCACTGGGGGAAAGAGGGGGGCTGGGTTTCTCTGGTCGAGGGTCAAATGACCCCACTTCTGGGGCTGATGAGTTTATGTCCAGGGTGACAAGCAGTAGTAGAGGTTTGGTGAAAAGAGAGCTTGGCTTCGGACAGACTTGGTGCAGCTGGTGTGCAGCTGGGCAGCTGTGCAGGCTACACACTTAACAATTATTGGGGCACTATTCACAAAGACTACAAGGGGAGTGCTCTTAGGTGGCGCTTGAAAGTTACACAATCCCAATGCCTTATCTGAGTTCCATCCTGGTTCTGCCACTTTTTGTAATAGTTTTGTGACCTTGAGCAGCCATTTACCCTCTGAGCTCATCTATAAGGTGAGACCACCACACCCACCTTAATAGCTGTTAGGTTTTCGTGAAACCACAAAAATGACAATACTAAAGGGCCACCTCCTACTCCCACCACAGGGACCCTTCCCAAGCTTTAGGGTACTAAGAGTGTGAGGTTATAATGGGTGAGCTCAGCCTGTACCAGGTAGAAAGACAATGACAGGGCGATAGGGTTGGTTAAGGGAGCAGGGGCTCCCTGGCCCCACTGTCCAACAAACCCCAGCATGGGGCCCCTTCCCTTGGCAAACAAAGAGTGGGAAGGTGCCCAGCCCCTGGAGAGGGGATACAGGTGCCCTCTCCTGGCTAATGATTCTCTAGCCCTGGAAAGCCTCCTGGCTAATGATTCCCCAGCACTGGGAGAGGCTCTATCAAGGAGGGTGGGCCTTCATTCCTGCCCCAGGTCCCCTTTGAGGCCTGAGGTCAGGCTTCTCTAGTCTTGGGGGCTTCATCTAGGAAAGGGGGACTTCTGGTACCCAAAGGCTCACAAGACTATGACTCAGCATTGCCCCACAATTCCCTGCACAGCACAAGCATCTTGAGGGCAACTTCACATAGCCTATAAATGTAAATTGCACCTCTGAAGTTGTGTCATGCAGCAGCCAGACCAGGATTGCTAGAAAGGAGATCTTCCACCATTCCCCAAACTCTCCAATGATTCATTCATTCTGACAAGATCCGCTCCAAAGCCTGCTGAATCCTGAGCTCCAAGGATTCAGACGCCACATAACCGACTCTGTCTGATGGAGAGCTCACTCCTAGCAGAAGGAACAAAGACTAAATATCCAACCAATAAACATATCTTGCAAGTTGTGATAAGAGCTGGGAAAGGCCAGGGTGCCAGGCAAAGGTCCACGTTGCCCAGCTCCCACTCCTTCTGGCAGCCCCCATCTCATCTTGGGACCCTCAGCTGGGCCCCCTGCAATCCCCTCGTGCTGGGAGGGGACTGGTAACAAACTCCAGACTCTCCGATGTGGCTGGCCTATCACGTCCGGGCTCCCCAAGGTCAAAGACAAGGTGGTACTGGTACCTTGCCTTGATTTTTATTTGCATTTTGAAAAGAGACCTTGGGCTTGGGAATCAATGACTGTGGGTGTCACAGGCAGTTACTAATGGCCTGGTTTGTCTGAGGGACAGGAGGTGGCATGGCTCTAGGACACAGGCCAGACCCTCTAACAGCTCTGCTGATTCCCTACCCCCTGCAGGAGGCCTATTGCGCGTACACCATCATCCTCATGGCGCTCTTCTGGTGCACTGAGGCCCTTCCCCTGGCTGTCACCGCCCTCTTCCCCATTGTCCTGTTCCCTATGATGGGCATTGTGGACGCCTCTGAGGTGAGCCTCCATCCACAGGAGAAAGCATTCTGGGCAATGCAGAAGGCGGGGGGGAGGGTGTGGGTTCCCTCAGACCTTGTTGACTAAGAAAGACTCATCATAGGCAGGGCACATGGATGAGGGGTTCCTGCCTCTGCATGAGGAAGAAGTCAGCTAGAAGGCTGCGGGCTGGGGCGAGGAGGGGTGCAGGATTGGTGCAGAGAGTTCGCTCAGAGTGGGAGTGATTAACCAGCCTTAGGTGAAAGGTGGAAGGCATAGCCACCTGGAAAAGGGGCCTTGAAGGCCAGCTAACACACTCGTATACTTCTAGTTCAGTGGCTCTCGAACTTGAATACCATCGGAGTCACCTGGAGGGCTGGTGAAAACACAAATGGCTGGGTCCAGAGTTTCTGATTCAGTAGATCTGGGGTGGGACCTAAGCATTTTATTTCTAATAAGTTCTAGGTGACGGTGATGATGCTGGCCCAGGGACCACACTTTGAGAACTGCTGTCTAGTTTTTAGAAACAGCACTAAAGTATCTATCTCACAGTCCATGGCTTGAAACTCGAATCACAGTAGATTATCCCAATTAATTGTTCCCAGAGGGAGATAAAGCGAGTTTGTCAAGAAGAGAGAAACCTTGTTGATACTAAATGGCAGATAATACAGGCCGGGTACGGTGGCTCATGCCTGTAATCCCAGCACTTTGGGAGGTCAAGATGAGCAGATCACTTGAGCTTAGAAGTTTGAGACCAGCCTGTCCAACAAGGTAAAACCTTGTCTCTACAAAAAATACAAAAATTAGCCAGTGTGGTGGTGCATGCTTGTAGTCCCAGCTACTTGGGAGGCTGAGGTGAGAAGATGGCTTGAGCCAAGGAGGCAGAGGTTGCAGTGAGCTGTGATTGTGCCACTGCACTCCAGCCTGGGCAACAGAGCCAGACCCTGTCTGCAAAAAGTGGAATTTAATTTTTAAAAAATGGCAGATCATTCAAAGACCATTTCCATCCAGTTTTGAGAGACCAGGAAAATGCCAATCTGTGGGAATGTCAGTGACTGCATCCCATAAGCTCAGGGGCACCGTGGGAGACTCCAGGGTCTTCCCATTGCTCAGCCATGTGTCCACCTGCCAGGTCGCCATCGAGTACCTGAAGGACTCCAACATCCTGTTTGTCGGGGGGCTGCTGGTGGCCATCGCGGTGGAACACTGGAACCTGCACAAGCGCATCGCCCTCTGTGTGCTCCTCATTGTTGGGGTGCGGCCAGCCCTGTGAGTTCCCACACACCAGCACAGGAGAACCTGCTGGGGAGATGTTCTGGGCACCTGGTCCCTGAGGAAAGCTGGAACAGCAGTGTGTCTGTCTGCCCATCCCTAGGCTAATCCTGGGCTTCATGCTGGTCACGGCATTCCTGTCCATGTGGATCAGCAACACAGCCACCTCGGCCATGATGGTGCCCATCGCACACGCCGTCCTAGACCAACTGCACAGCATGCAAACCAGCGGGGATGTCGAGGAGGGCAGCAACAACCCCACCTTTGAGCTCCAGGAACCAAGTCCCCAGAAGGAGGTGACCAAGCTTGGTGAGAAAGAGGAGTCTAGAGCCTGCCCCAACCCCCTGGTTCTTGGAGAGAGTCTGAGGGTCTGTCCAGCTCCAAGGGATGGTCATCTTGGAGCTTTGGGAAGAGAGGAAAGACAGTGACCAATTTGTTTTTCCTTTTTTAAAAATATCAAGTCCCTGCCGGGCACAGTGGCTCACGCTTGTAATCCTAGCACTTTGGGAGGCCGAGGCGGGAGGATCACCTGAGGTTAGCAGTTCGAGACCAACCTAGCCAACATGGGAAACCCCGTTTCTTTAAAAAATATATTGTTTTAAAATGTCAAGTCCCCTGTGTTAGAAATCCCCTCATCCCTGGGCAAACCAAGATGCTTGGTCACCGTAGCAAGAAGACAGCTGGAGTGTAGGTGGACAGTCCAAGACCTAGGCGCCATTCTTCCTGTGTGATTTGGGTCATCCTCCTTTCTTCTCTCAAGGGAGAGGTCAGACCAGATGGTGGCCGAGGGCGCTCCCAGCCTGAGACTATGGGGAATGCTGGGCCCCTCAGGCCTGGAGACAGCATCTGTCCTCCTCCCAGCCCCGGTCTGTGCTGTTCAAAGATAAGGTGCCCTGGAGGCCCTTGCAGCCCAGGGCCATGTTCCCCAGAGCTGGCCCTGTACCCGCCCCCACCTGGGCTCTCCCTTGTTTCCAGATAATGGGCAGGCCCTCCCTGTCGCTTCTGCTCCTCCAGAGGGGAGGACACATCACAGCAAGGAGCATCTCCGCATCAGCCAGTGCATGAGCCTGTGCGTGTGCTACTCTGCCAGCATTGGGGGCATTGCCACGCTGACCGGCACCACGCCCAACCTGGTGCTGCAAGGCCAGGTCAACTCGTGAGTGACAAGGGGTGGGGCATCTTGGGGGATCCACACACTCCCTGGAAGGTGAATGAGGCTAGGCAGTTCTGGGGCAATGTCACACGGCAGCCCACATCCCTCCTGCAGGCTCTTCCCTGAAAATGGCAACGTGGTGAACTTCGCCTCCTGGTTCAGCTTCGCCTTCCCCACCATGATCATCTTGCTGCTGCTGGCCTGGCTGTGGCTGCAGATTCTCTTTCTAGGATTCAAGTAAGTGGCAAAGTCCCTGCCCTTAGCACTGGGAGCTTCCAGTTGGGTCCAGCTGTGGAAAGAAAATGATATCATTACCATCCCAGTGAGAAGGCTTCTCCCTCCCAAGGCCCCTCTGTGCACTTGGATCTCCATTTGAGCAAATTACTGGATAGAGAGTATTACCCCATTTCACAGATGAGCAATCTGAGGCTTCAGGAGTGGTTCAACTAGATTTGTCAGTGCTGGGACTGCAAACCAGGTCATTTGATGCCCCTTCCCATAATGCTCCACCATCCTTTAAAAGATGCTTAAGGAGCACACTCCGAGCATGGTTAGTTACAGAAGCACCTGCTGTGTTCCTACTGTATACCAGGTGGTGACTAACGCACTGAGAATACTAGAAGGAACTAGGCACAGCCCCTGTCCTTGTAGCCCATCAGGTGGATGATGATATGGTGGGGGCCATGACAGAGGGAAGCCCAGATGCTATGGGAGCACAGAGAAAAGAGTGCCTAGTTCAGCCCAGGTGAGTGAAGATTTCAGAACACCCTGGAGGAGATCGTGCCTTGGCTGAATCTTGCAGGACTAGAAGTCAGCCAGGGAGAGAAAGGGTGAAGACATTCCAGGCAGCAGGAGCAGTTTGCACAAAGCTCAGAGACAAGAAAGGACATGATGTGTTCGAGAGAACTCTAGTTCTCAGGGCTAAAACACGAACAGCAAAAAGGAGCATCAGGTCATGAAGCTGGAGAAGTAGGCCAGGATGGTTCTGGAAGCTCTATGTGCCACCTAAGCCTCTGGACCTTGTCCTTGAGGCCAAGAGTAATAAGTAGATTCCATTCCTACTTCCAACCCGGGATTCCTGGCAGTCACTATCTGGAGCTCTGAGTTGGAAAATCGTGGGAGAACTTGCTAAGGCTCAGTTAGTATCAAGTCTGTGACTGATTAGTGACGTCTGCCATGAGTATGGAGTGTGCCTGGTATGAGTGTTACTGTAATATGGCTTATAATTTGCCCTTCCTGCCCAGGCAGTGGTGAGCCCTTGAAAGTTTTTAAGCATTGCTGCTGCACTTTGGAAAAATCACTTGGGAAATGTAAGGAAGCTGGCTGAAGGTTGGGGGTTAGTACAAGGCAAGGTGGTAGTGGAAGAGAGATCAGCACAGTGCCAGGCGCCATAGGGGAGTCAAAGATGTGTGAAGCGTGAAGGAACTCACAGTCCAGCAGGGAGCTTGAGATTTACCCAAGTGGAAAGTTAAATGTCAACACAAGTGAAGTCAGCAGCAGAAGGAAGTGGGCTGTAGCCCATTGTGCCTCTGAGACAATGCAGGTGGGGCTCAGGCTGGCAGGGGATGCCCAGAGCAGGCAGAGGAGGAAAGGAGGACTTCCCAAAGGCTGTTGGAGGAAGAGAGATGTAAGCCAGGGCCGGATGAGGTCCCGAGGTCTGAGCTGCTAGGTCCTCCTCATCCTGGGCGAGGGAGGATTCGGCACCATAGAAGCCCTGGAGGAAAAGGGGCTCAATGGAGCAGGGCCAAGCATGGGGAAACCCAGCTCCTCCTGCTAAGCACGAACTATGACCCCTAAAAATCTTCCGCTCTTCCTCCAGAACCTCAGGTGGAGCCGGGGCCTGAGTATCATGGCCCTGAGACGCCCTCTTGTGAGCGTCAGCCTTTAGGTCTTAGGCACTCCAAGCCGCTTGCTCCCTGCCTGGTGCAGGCCCTCCACGAGCTGCCCCGCCCCTCTGCCTACAGCTTCCGGAAGAACTTTGGCTTTGGGGAAAACACGCAGGAACGACAGCAAGCAGCCTACAGCGTCATCCAGACCGAGCACAGGCTGCTGGGCCCCATGACCTTCGCAGAAAAGGCGGTCAGCATCCTGTTTGTCATCCTGGTGCTGCTCTGGTTCACCCGGGAGCCAGGATTTTTTCTTGGCTGGGGCAACGTGGCTTTTCCCAATGCCAAAGGGGAGAGGTGAGAGTTGCAGGCAATGGGAGGAGGACACGTCTGGGGCTCACGTGCTGGGGAGGAGGGAGGGTTGTAGGTCCCCAGTGCAGAACAGGAGGTAACACCTGGTGGGGGATGAGGGTTCCCAGGCTTGTCTGTGGGACGTCGCCTCGCCACCACCCTCAACCCCGCAGCCCTGAGCAGCCCCAAGCCGTTAAGCCAGCCCTCCCTGCACCCTCTACAGCATGTTGTCCGATGGGACAGTGGCCATCTTCATCGGCATAATTATGTTCATCGTACCTTCCAAGTTCCCAGGGCTGACCCAGGACCCAGGTAAGCCCCTGGACTGGGAGAGGGAAGCCCCTGCCTTCAAGTATGTAATGTACCTTCCACCACATTTGACAGGAGTAGGCAAAGCCCAGAAAGGCTGGAGCTACTTGCCAAGGGCACAGGGACTCGGGGACAAAGTTGAGATGTTGCAGAACTCAGGGTCCCCTCCTGCATGCGTTAAGCTCCAAAAGGGACTCCACAGGGAGCCCCCAAGTGGAGAGAAGAAAGGCCTGTTTGTTCTTTGGTGACCCATCCTTCTCTGCTTGGGGAGTAGAAAACCCAGGGAAGCTGAAGGCCCCTCCTGCCCTCCTCAACTGGAAGACAGTGAACCAGAAGATGCCCTGGAATATCGTGCTCTTGCTGGGTGGTGGCTATGCTCTGGCCAAGGGCAGTGAGGTGAGACGCCCCCGGCCCCCTCCTGGCTCCTGCGTCTTTCTTTTTCCCAATGTGAGGGAGACTCTGTGGCAGAGAAAGAGGGGGTCCTGCTTCTGTCCCACAGAGGGGAGACCTGGTCGCCCTGTAGGAGTCCCCACGGGTGGGCAGAGCCTTTGCAGCAGCTGGAGAGACTTAGGTTAGAGCCCCCATGAGGGAGGAAGACACACAAGCCCTAGAGCCCTCTCCTTAGTTCAGCTCTCAAAGTTCAAGGGAAGGCGGAATTCCCTGGTGGGCGGGGCCTGTTCCCAGAGACAAATGCTATCCCACCCCAGGCCCTCGCCCCCTGCCAGAAAGAGCACGCCGTAACGTCCGCACCGAAGTAGTTGGGGTTGTGTTAACGCGGTTTGCCTGCCTCAGCCACAAGGGGGCACCATGATCACACCCACTCAGGCTCTGGGGACCAGAACATCTTTTCCCAGAGCCTCCGTCCAAAAGAGGGAAATCCCTGACACAGCATCCCTGGTCCTCCATGTTCTGGCTCAAACAGGAGGCAGCTGCCCAGGTCAGGGATGGATGCAGGGGACTCCCGGGTCTTTGGCATGTTCATCCACTAACTGTGCCCAATGCTGTGGTAGGTGCTGGCCCCACCAAGCGAGATTAAGTCCCCGCTTCCTGGGCTTGAAGCCTGGCATTCCAGACGCGGCAGGGCAAGACCTCGGAGCTTTTCCATCCCCATCCTCCCATCAGCCTCTTCCAGCCTCTAGCAGTCCTCCCCCAACTTTCTCTCCCTGCCAGGAGCAAGTTCCCCTCTGCCCCAAGCCACTGGACTGGAAGGGGCAGGAAGAGGGCTAAGGTTGTCCAGGGACCTCCTGAGAGGGGTCAGGAAGGCAGGAGTAAGTGCAGTCAAAGATTTTTGCTCCCATCAGGCTCCAAGTTTCCCTAGAAGGCCCTTTGGCCCCCTCTCCTATTTCCTCATCTGACCCTTCTTCCCACACCCAACTATTCTTCAAGAGCAGGAAAGGGCATCCCTTGGTCTTAGCTGGGTCTTGTCATCCCTCTAGAGCTGCCTTTGACTCTGAATACCAGAGAGGTGTGAGCAGGAGCGGGATCCTCCCAGAGCCTTGGCAGAGGACTCGGGGGCCCAGGCAGCCTTGCCTCTCACACGCCATCCTCCCCTACCCACAGCGATCGGGCCTGTCAGAGTGGCTGGGAAACAAGCTGACCCCACTGAAGAGTGTGCCATCTCCAGCCATCGCCTTCATCCTCTGCTTCATCGTGGCCACCTTCACCGAGTGCACTAGCAACGTGGCCACCACTACGATCTTCCTGCCCATCTTAGCCTCCATGGTGAGCTGGCCCTCAGAAACACCTCCTCCAGGTAGCCCTCCTGCCTGCCTCACCAGAGGTTCTGCCTGCTAGGCAGAGTGACCTGTCTTTTGTACCTCCTCTTTTCCTGAAGATGACCCCTGAACTTCCATCCTTCTCTAGGCTCTTGAGCCACCTTGGGCCCCAAGGTGCTCTGGCCCCGACTCACCCTTTCCCTGGTGATGTCACCCCTGGAGTATCCTGATGGGGATCGTGGTGGCCTCACCTACCTCCCCACCCGTCCCTGTTCTGGTCATTCCTGAGGTGTTGGGGTGAAATTGCTCCCCGAAGCGTCCCCAGCCCCTTCTTCCCCAGGCATGTTCCTGAAGCCTTTGATGACACCCCCAGAGCCCCTTTGAGATCCGTTTTATGGGCCCCTCCCCTCACCACACCCCACGAGGCAGGCCGACACACTCATTCCCTCCAGAGAGGTCAAGAGGCCCTTCCCAGGTCACCTAGTGCCTTCTGGGAGAAGTGTGTCTCCCAGAGAGGGGAAGCAGGAGAATTGGGGGCCATACCTCCCCTCCAGGATGGGGAGCAAGGTTAACTCTGCCCACTATCTCCCATCCAGGCCCAAGCCATCTGCCTCCACCCTCTCTACGTCATGCTCCCCTGCACTCTGGCCGCCTCACTGGCCTTCATGCTGCCTGTGGCCACCCCGCCCAATGCCATCGTCTTCTCTTTTGGGGGACTCAAAGTGTTGGATATGGTGAGTGACAGGGAGGCCTGAATGCCTCATACCTCCTTCCTGCTCTAACTTTCCATCTTGGTGAACCACAAAGCAGCTTAAAGCCACTGAGAGCCTCAGAGTTGAGTGGGCTCTCATCTGGGGTGAAGGTGCAGTGGGGGAGGTTGGGACATGACCTCTCAGTAGCAGCATCTTCAGGCCCTGCCATCCCCCTGCTATGTGAGAGGGAGGGAACTGGGTGGGGAAGATGGGGAAGGCTCCAAGGTGCCAGGCACACTCAGGGAGATGAGTTCAGAGAGAACAAGCCCAGGGCCCTGGAAGCTCAGGAGGAGCGCCCCTTTTCCCTGATAGCACTGGGAATAAAGCAAGGGGCAAAGGCACTGGCTATGCTGCAGATTAGGCCAAAGGAAGGACTTCCCAGAGATAATTTTGCTAGTGGGAGGGCTCCTATGCACCCCTGAACACCCAGGGGCTTAGGGGTGGCCCAGCCCAGCCCCTGCTTAGCCAAACTGACTCTCCTCCCTCCAGGCCCGGGCAGGATTCTTGCTCAACATCATTGGGGTCCTGGTCATCACACTGGCCGTCAACAGCTGGAGCATTCCTATCTTCAACCTACACTCCTTCCCCTCCTGGGCACAGTCAACCAATACCACAGCCCACTGCCTGCCCAGCTTGGCCAACACCACCATGCCAAGCCCCTAGACTGGGGTTCACCCTGGCCATGCCCAGGAAGACCCACCCCATTCCCACTCCTCTGAGCCAAGAGGGGACACCCCAAGTTCCAAGCTCCTAGCCAAAGGCTGAGAGAAAGGCACGTGTGTACATAATCTTTTGTGTGTCTGTAAGGAAGGTGTATATGTTCAATTTCCTATGTACTGGAAGAAAAGGCGTGTGTGTGTGTGTGTGTGTGTTCACGCGCGTGTGCGTGCACCCGCATGGATGTGAAGGGTGTGTGATGTGAGGCCATCTGAGGGTGCTGTGTGCATGCACATGATCCTAGGTGTGTATGCTAGACAGTGCACGTGTGTGTTCACAGACAACACAACACACCCTCTCTGGCGCCCCAGCTTGGTCTCCTCAGCTTAAAGATCAGACTTCTTTGCATTGTATTTATTGAAACTCAGGCTTGGAGTGCCCTGGGAGGAGGGCCTGCCAGCGGTTGCCATGGGAACAGCCTCTGGGACTGGCCCAGCACACTGAGGGCTCCCCAGCATTTGGGTGTTTTGGTGGAAATTCAAATATTAACCACGTTAAAGTTTTTTCAGTAAAGTCTGGGATGATTTTTCATGGCACTCTCCAGGGCTGGTCCCCAATGTGGTTCAGACCCCAGGTTGGGGGGGTCCAGTGGGAAGGGACCTGGCCTCTGTCCTGTATGCAGCCCCCTAGGCACCCCTCCCACCTGGGGGAAAGGTCATGGTCAGGTATCCCTGCCAAGGCCCTTCAGAGTGGGCGCAGCCACCTAGGAGAGCCGCACTGACATCACTGGGCTGGCTAATTGGGAGCTGCCAGTCCCTGCGTGTCTTTGGGAAACCGGCCTCCCCGTTCCCAGAGCACTCCCTGGGTATTTACATAAAACCCTCTGCCCCTGCCAATTCCTCATGGACCCTTACTCCAGCTGGAAAAACCAGTCCCACCAGGCCAGAGGAGGCAGGCTGACCTGTGCTGGGTGCCCAGGGGACGGACCCTCATCCTGCAGCACAGGAACAGGCTGGGAACTGGCATGGCCTTCAGAGTCCAGGACCAGACAACTGTGAATAATTCCGCCTCCCCCACCAACATCTACCTGGCCTCCCCCAAATTCTCCCACCCCACACCCTCATGACCTCCAGAGTTTTCGTTTATCTACAAGGTGGGGTGGGGATGGGGAAGAATGATACCACATCCATCATTCCTTCTGCGAGCCAAACAGCCCTTCCCGCCTGGAAATTCATCTTTGTGTTGAGGCGAAGTCCTCCCACTGTGGATAGTGGCATGTCAGCCTAGAGTTCATCCAGATGGAAGTTTCCCAGAGTCTCGCCCCATCCCCTCCTGCTCCAGTGGGAGAGAAAAGAGACACTTCCCGTCCTCTTCATGCCCACGTGAAAAAGGGGGCTGGGCTGTGAAGAGAGAAACCCAGAAAGGATTGCATTCTGGATCCCCCTGGGCCAGGTTTCCACTGGGTCCTCCCAGAGCTGGGGGTTGGGAGTGCATATAGGAGGGGCACTGTGCGGGGGAGTAGGCAGCTGTCCCCAGGGGACAGAGGGTCCTGACAGGACATGCCAGGCATCCTGGAGAGGCAGGAGTGTTGTTCGGGTGGCTCCACCCCCACTCTGGCCCCCCCCAGGCTGGCATTCCTCACTCATGAAGCACAGCCATAAATCACTGTTCCCACTCAGACCCACAGGAGGACCCCCTCTCACCCACCAAAGCCCCAGGCAACAGTTCCCCGCATTGGAAATGAGCAACCCCAGAACGGTGTGGCTCCCCCAGTGGCCTACCCACAATGCGGTGGGTCCCTAAGGAGCAGCCCAGCTCCATCTGCAAGGAAGACCCTCTGCTGCTACTTCCTTCTGGACCCCAGCTGGGGAAAAGGCGAGTGTGCTTCTCAGGGTGCACATGCCCTGCCTACTGTTCTCGGCTCCACTTCCCCCTCAGTCCGGCTCAGAGAGGGTCAGGTGTGGACTGAGGTCCCAGGAAATCCACACAGCAGTCCCAGGAAGTGAGGACTGGTCCTGCTTTCTCCGGGAAGGAGGTGAACGCCAGCCAGCCTGAGGGTCTAGAGGTCGACTGTGGTGGGTGCCCTGGAAGGGCTCTGGAGCCAAGCTTCCCCTAGGTGCTCAGAAAACATCCTCTTCAGCAGGCAGGAGGGTGGACAGGCAGCAGGTGGCACCTGTCGGCCTAATCACCATTATTAACTGGGCAATAAAGTGGCACAGCCTGGGCCAGCTTTGAAGGAAGGGCCTGCCAGCTGGGTCAGGTTTGTACAAGCAGCCTGGCAGCTCAGCTCCTCTACACACTCCAGGCGATGGCAGGTAGATGGGCCCTGCTGGGACTGGGTCTGCACCCTCGATGCCTAGGCACCCACCTCCCTTCATCGATGGCTTCCAGGAAAGTAGCAGCGAGCTTTGGGTGTCTCCTACCAGCCGGATTGGGCCATGCTGGGACTCAACAGCTTCTACAGTGTAAGTGTCCCATTGCTAAGATCCATGAGACTGGAAGTTACTTGAGGACAGTCTGCCTGTTGGAGATGTGTCCCCAGTTCCTACACAGGGCCCAGCACGTGAAGAAAGGAAGCATACAGAGCTTCTTGCTCTCAGGGTGAAGGTGGACACGCTGCTTTCCAAGTCTCTTTCCAGACTGCCGTGGAGTAGTATGAGGCCTTGAGAAACGTCTTGACCTCTCTGGGCCAATGTCACCTTAAGCTCAGCAGATAGGCCCAGATTTCTGAGCCCACCCATAGTGTTCCCCTGTCTCTGTCCCCTGAGGTCCTGAGAGTGTCCCTGTTTCCCTACCCTCCTGCCAGCCAGCTCCAGCCCTCTAAGGCAACCAGAGGGCCCAGAGATGGGCGGAGCTTGCCAGGGAGCTGGCAGAGGCAGGGGCGGGCTGTCCACACCATTCTCGGAGTTCACCTGGACCTGGGCCCCAAATAAAGGGCAGCCCTGGGGGTTAAAGTCCTTGACCCCAGAGTAGGCCTTTGGGGACACAGGCCATGACTTCTCTGTCTCCTCACAGTCTGGAGGGGAGGCTGCTTTCTGAAGGAGGGAGGGAAGCGTGGAGGAAGCTTGGGAGTGCAGGGTCCAGGTTGGGTAGAACGGGGTGGGTGAAGTTCTGGTGGAGTTACAGCCTAGAGAGGGTGCCCCTGCAGCCTCCCTTCAGTTTGGCAAGGGAGGGGGAAGGGGGTGTGCAGAGGGGGAGGTGAGGAAGGAAACAGAGCAGCCTGATTGGCAAGAGTGTGGCAGGGACCATAAGTGTGCTCTGAAGGGTAGAAACACCCACAGTGTGTACGTGCAGTCACAGATCCATGGGTACCCACAGAACCCACAGACGCATGCACCGACATGGATACCTGTGAACACACAGTTAAACACATTCACACACAAACACTCATGCGCACAACGTTACAGGTGCTCAGCCTGAAAGACACACATGTCCAGAAAGACACCATGTCCAGAAACACACACAGACATACACAGCCACAGCCAAGTGCACACACACAGTCGCTCAAACTCCTCTGCACCCCATGTCAGACCTGAGTGTTTCACTGCATGGGGATGCCCACACTTAGACACAGATTCTGGCTCTGACACACCCAGTAGCACATTGCAGCTCCACAGACTTCATGCGCACCCACGGCGGCACGCGGGCATGAGAACACAAATGTAAATACATACACACTCATGCAGAGGTACACACGTACTTACAGACACTGACACCAGTGAAAACACACACACCCCAACATTGCTTCTCCCACCTTCACAGCAGGAGGGATTAAGGCAAGAGGCGAGAAGCCCTCCCCACCCAGCAGGAGTTTGTGTTCCTCCCCCCTACCATCCCCCGCACCAAGCTCTCAGATTGGAAACTCCCTGGATTTCCCAGGGGGTCATCCAACCAGAACAGGCTCAGACCTCCTGGCCCAGCTGTCCTGCCACACACACCCTCCACAGCTCAGGGTGCTTCTCCATCAGCCACAGCCAATGAGCTGCTTGCTCTTCCCCAGGAAGCTCACCCTAATTAACCCCAGATCCCCTCACCCCTTCTTTGATGTGGGGTCCCTGGGCCTCAGGGCCTCATGGCAGCCATGCTTGGGGCCTGTTCCTCTGTGGATGTTCTTCAGTGTCTTGCACACCAGTGGAGTGAGACTTGGAAAGCAGCAGGCTCACATTGGGAACGCACTTTGGAAAGGCAAGTCCAGCCTGCATGAGCAGAAGCGGACAGAAGATGGCCAGCCCAGACACAGGGTTCAAGGAGGGGTCCCCTCCTCCATCACATTGGAGCTCCCAAGGGTGGGCACACACTCTTCCTTCTTCCTTGGGTCCCTAGGGTCTTTCCCCAGACCGAGGCATAGCAGACACTGGTCCCAGGGATTTCCATCCCCAGCCGGGGCTGTTTTCTGGCTCAAAGCAGCCCAGCCCTGGATACAGCTTAGCAGCACACAGTGAACCATTTCCAACCTCCAGTCTTCAGAGGAACAGAGCTTCCTCTGGCCCCAGCCTGTCTAAGCACCCAGCGGCAGCTCCTCCAGGCCAGAGCCCAGCTCAGCTCCACCTTAGGACCTGAAATGAGGAGGCTGGAGTGTGTGGGACCAAAAATCCAGACAGAAGTCCTTTCCCAATACTGCAGCAGCTAGAGTGGATGCTAGACACCAGGGCAGACTTTTGGGCCTAGGAGAGAATTCTGAAGGGTTGGCATGATGAGAGAAGGAAGGGATGGTCTGATCTAGAGACAGAGGAGAAAGATCTCACAAATTCCCTTTCACTCCAAGCTCTGTGGCAATGCCAAGGCTCCTGCTTCAGCTCCTAGGCTGCATGCAATGAGGAAGTTGTGCTTCCCAAAGGAAAGAGGCAGCCAGAGCCGGAGCCCGCACCCATTCCTGGGGCAGAGGTGGATCCCGTCTTGGAAGAGAAAGAAGTTCATCTCATCCATCAGAAGCAGTCTCACTGTGGGAAGTGACAACTACAGTCTTTCCTGGACATCCCATCAGGGCCTCCCTGGGACAAAGTCTTTTAACTTTGTTCATGTTACATTTTGCTCTAAAGAAATTTAAACTTTTTACTTAGTCAAATCTGTTAATATATTCCTTTATGGCTTCTGGATTTGATGTCACGCTCAAAAATGCCTTCTCCACCCCATAATCATAAAACTGTTTCCCATATTTTTTCTATTTGTTTGTATGATTTTCACTTTTATATCAGATTGTTAATCCATCTGGATTTTTAAACATATAGTATGAAGTAGGATTTAACTTTATTTCTTTCCAATGGAAAGTTCATGATCCCAAGGAGTGGGATTTCTTGCTTGTTACTTTTAAATACTTTATAGTCCAGATGTCGTGGCTCAAACCTATAGCAGTACTTTGGGAGCTCGAGACCAGACTTGGCACAGAGCAATACCACATCTCTACAAAAAAAAAAAAACAACTTAACTAGCTGAGTGTGGTGATGTATACCTGTAGTCCCAACTACTGGGGAGGCTGAAGTGGGAGAATCGCTTGAGCTCAGGAGGTGGAGGCTGCAGTGAGCTGTGATCATGCCTCTGCACTTCAGCCTGGGCAACAGAGCGAGTCCCTGTCTCAGAAAAATATAATAAAGGCCGAGCACCAGGGCAGACTTTTGGGCTGTAATCCCAGCACTTTGGGAGGCCAAGATGGGCAGATAACAAGGTCAGGAGCTCAAGACCAGTTTGACCAACATGGTGAAACCGCATCTCTACTAAAAAATACAAAAATTAGCCAGGCGTGGTGGCGCGTGCTACTCAGGAGGCTGAGGCAGAATTGCTTGAACCTAGGAGGCAGAGGTTGCAGTTAGCTGAGATTGCGCCATTGCACTCCCGCTAGGGCGATAGAGCGAGACTCCACCTCAAAAAAGAAAAAAAGAAAAGAAAATACCTTACTATTATATACCTATTTTAAAATACCTTGTCACATGCCCAATTCTCATAAATATTCAAGTTTATTCTGGATTCTATTATCTTCCATTAATTTATTTATTTCTGTGTCAAAGTTGCAGTTTTAATCATGGAAGCCTTATTGAACATTTTGAAAGCTGACAGGGCAAGTTACCCGTCAGTCTTCTTTCTCAAAAAGTTCCAAGCTATTCTCATATACCTACCCTTCCCCCAAACTGCAGAATCAACTTGTCAAATCTCGGGGGCCAAAAACCTTTAGACTTTTGATTTGAATTACATTCAGCTTCTAGATTATTTAGAGGAGAATTGGCGTTCTTACAATATTCTATTCTGCCTCCTTGTTGTTGCTGTTTTAGAGACAGGGTCTCACCATGTAGCCCAGGCTGGTGTCAAACCTCCTAGGATCAGGCGATGCTCCTACCTCCAAAGTGCTGGGATTACAGGCGTGAGCTACCCTGCCCAAGACATTTTTCTTTCTTTTTTCTTTTTAACCTTCCAATTCAGGAACATGATATGCCTTTATATTTATTCAGGTCTTATTTTATGTCCATAATTAAAAATCTATTATATTTTATGAGTTATATCTTTTTGTCTCCTTTTTCTCTTTTCTTTGTTTTTTTGTTTTTTGTTTTTTTGAGACAAGGTCTCATTTTGTCACCCAAGCTGGAGTGCAGTGGCTCAATCTCGGCTCACTGCAACCTCTGAATCATGGATTCAAGCAATCCTTCCATCTCAGCCTCCCAAGTAGTTGGGGCTACAGGCACTCGCCACTTCATCCGGCTAATTTCTTGTATTATTCATAGAGACAGGGTGTCACCATGTTGCCCAGGCTGGTCTCGAACTTCTGAGCTCAAGAGATCCACCTGTCTTAGCCTCCCAAAGTGCTGGGATTATAGGCGTGAGCCACCTCACCCAGCTAACTCCTATTTTAATTCGTTGTTTTAGCTGTATAGAAATGGTTTTGATTTTTATACATGGATATATTCTTCTATCTTACTACCTTCTCTCATTTGTTCTCATAGTCTTTTAATTGATTCTCTTCAATTTCCTAAATAAACAAACACATCATTTGTAATTATTGAAGATTGTTTTACCTCCTTCCTTCTTATAATAATGCCTTATTTCTTTTTCTTATTGTACTGGTTGGGGCTTTCAGAATAATGTTCATTGATAGCAACCATGGCAGCCTTCAACTTACAATTTTTGTGGTTTTCTGTGCCCAGAGTATCCAAACAGAAATACCTGTGAGTCTAGAAATAACAATTAGCTCTATGTACATCAGATAGGAGCAATTAGCAAACATCCAGGTCTTGATAGCCGCCCTTTCACTGGAAACGCCGTTGACTATAGGGTTAGAGTACAGAGCTTTGATTGCTACGTGAGCCCCAGAGAAAGGTGGATTGAGTCAGGGCCCCTGTTCTAACCCCAGAACACAATTCTTTTTTTTTTTTTTTTTTTTGAGATAGAGTCTTGCTCTGTCACCAGGCTGGAGTGCATCGGTGCGATCTCGGCTCACTGCAACCTCTGCAATTCCCCTGCCTCAGCCTCCCAAGTAGCTGGGACTACAGGTGTGTGTCACCACACCTGGCTAATTTTTGGTATTTTAGTAGAGACGAGGTTTCATCGTGTTGGCCAGGACGGTCTCCATCTCCTGACCTTGTGATCTGCCCACCTCAGCCTCTCAAAATGCTGGGATTACAGGTGTGAGCCACCGTGCCCAGAACACAATTCCTACACCCAAGTGGGCATACCAGCACATCCTCGTTACTTTCCCAGCACACTGGCCTTCGTGAACAGAAAGAAGGCACTTGTTTATTGAGCCTCTACTATATATGAGGGGTTGTGCTGAGAACTGAAGACATGTAAATTTATTTAATCCTCATAACCACCCTGTGGGTATTATTCCCTTGTTAACAGATGAGGAAACTGAGGCTCAGAGTGGGGAGTATGGAAGATCACACAGCTAACCATCACTTACAATGGGTTCATTGCTGTCTGCCTCTGCCCTTCTTTTCTGAAATGGATATTTACTACAGAACATTTTCTGCCTCAACTAAGAACTCTTTAAATGTTTTAGTGTGCCAGATGACCACCACTGTCCCCTGGCCAGGGTTGACATTACCTCTTCCCTGGGAATTCCAGAATCACTGGGGAAGAGCTGACTTGCCCATACCCTCAGGCCAGAAGCCAAATCCCAGACCTTGTTGGGCAGCAGTGCTGGTGCTAGGTCCCTAGAGCCTTTAGCTCCAGGAAGAGATACAAGTGGGCTTAGAGGCCAGTGGTGAGGGAGACGGAGGAGGGAAAGAATGGCCAGGGACAGGAGACAAGAGGGTGGGGAACAAAGAAGATGAAAAGGAAACAGAGAGAAGGAGGTGAGGACAGGGTCTGGGGGAACAGCAGAGAGCTGTCAGGGAGCAGGGATAGCCCCAGGTCTGAGTCCAGCTGGAACCAGGGAGGCCAATTCCTAGGCCTTCACCGTCAACGTGGATTCCAAGGGGCCAGAGACCAGGGCAACAGTCACTCAGGTTTCTGTTTCTATCCTCCAGACCATGAATAGTGGCCGTGGGATCAAGACATAGAACCAGGGAGCCCCATCTCCTCCCACACAGACAGCCATACTCACACAGGGCTGGATTGCTGACCCACAGCAGAGATGTGTGCACAGACATGAACATGTAAACACATGGGCAACACAGAAGCCTGGGTCTGGGGACACAGAGACACAGACACGGGAAGACATGCAGACACACGCCAACCCCAGAGACAGAGGCACAGACCCAGGGAGAGATGTGAACAGCCTCGCATATAGCTTCCCCTGAGATGTCATCTGCACATGCTCAAGTGGGTGCACACGCCCCCACCCACAAGGAGACACCCTCAAGGTGCTGCAGGAGCTATGGAGAGACAGATAGATGGCCGGCCCCGTGGACAGACAGTTCCCAGCAAATATGTGTTAATGCTTGGCCCTGGAAGGGTCCCACCTATCCATGCTGTGCCTCAGAGAACCCTGGGCTGCCACCCAGTGCTATCCCCAAAACCTCATGAGTGGGCTCCATGAACATACATGTGGCGGCGGGCTCTCCTGACACACGTGCACATGCTCCAACAGGCCTGTGCCCCACCTGTGGGGGGTGGGGTGACATCCCCTTTCTGGAGTGCAGGCAGGTGTCACGGGACAACCACCTCCTCCACAAGCCACAGGCTGTGCCCGCTGGCAGGGACAGGGGAGGGGGCCCGGGCTAGCTCAGGAGGAGGGAGGGGCTGGTGGGGGCTGGGGCGCGGCAGGGGCGGGCACAGGAGCCAGTACCTGTCAAACAAGAGCCAAGGAGCAAACTAGCTTCTTAGTCACCTTTCTCTTCTCCCGGTTTTGGCAGCAGCCCCTCCGGGCAAGGGGAAGCTGATATCATAATTATTGGCTCACCTGGCAGCTGCCTCCCCTCACCTGATGTCAGCACAGACCCAGGACCGCCGAGCTGACGGACTGACAGACGGACAGACCTCCTGGCCCCCCAGACCCGGGCCCCCACGCCGACCTGCTTCACTGAGCAGGTAAGAGGAGCCCTGGCCCAAGTCAGCCGTGGAGGCCAGCAGGGCCGGGCTGGGTCATGGGGAGGGGGGTTGCTTTTTTAACGGGGCTCAGGAGTGACTGGGAGCAACTGGGTGCTCCCTACATTCTCACTGCAGCTCAAAGGATACTCAGAATTGGGGTGAGTGCCTGGAGGCCCAGGGGCACCCCCTCCCTCACGGCCCCATCCAGTTCCTTTCCTAGATTGTCCACCTTTAATTCCTCTTGCTGTGGTGTGTGCTGGACTGCGTGTGTGTGTCCCTGTGTGCTGGAGATGTGCTCACCCACCTTGTGCTGGGGGACATGAGGACTTAGAAGTGCTAGATCTGGAAAACTAAGGCTGAACGATGGAGGCAGATTCCACACCTAGTGGTTTTTCTAGGTGGAGAAGGGAGAGCCCAGCTCTGGCCGGGGGGCACCAGGAGTGTGTGCAGGTGAAGGAATTGCTCAACATCTCCCAGCAGCCTGCACTGGGGTCTAGATACCTGGGCCCATGCAAGGCCTGGGTTGCAGAAAGGAGATGGTGCGCCTTGTGGAGAAGCAGACAGGTAGCACACAGGTGCTGTGGCCAGGAGTTGATTCGGGGCTTAGGGCAGAGTCGCCCCCACCCCCTAACTCCATCTCTCTCCCTCAAGACCCCTGAGGCTGAGTCCTGGTGAGCAGAGCCTAGCCAGGCAGGGAGCCCTTAGGCCTTTGGAGCCTAGAGATGGGGGTGTGGGGAGTGAAGGCCCTAAGGGAAACGGCCAGAGCAGCAGGAAGCCCTGCCAGCTACCCCGGCTCCTCCCCAACCCACTGTGGCTTAGCTCAGATAGGGTTCTCTAGTTCCCGTGGAGTCCCCCAGGCCCTCCCTAACTATCCAAAGCAGCCCGTTGGATGAATAGACTCTAACAAGTGGGCATGTTTGCAGGGGATATGTGATGTGCTTTGTGGCAAGGCACAAGTGGTCAGCGGGAAGGGACCCGAGTGAAGGGGCTCCTCTTGGGGAGATCATTCCATCCACCCCTGCCCCTATGCCAGTCATTGTCCACGTTGGGCAGGACTGCCCCTCCTTGTTTTCCTAATCACTGAAGGAGAAACTCTGGTCAGTTTCCTCACAATCATGAAGTGCTTCCCAGAGCCTCTCTGGTCATTACTGCTGCAGAGTCCAGCCCTGCTTGCTCCGTAGCAGTCTTCCTCCCGCACTGAGGAACCCAAGTTCCTCGGATCTGAGGGTGGAGTTGCACTGTAGTCCTGTTCCCACCAGGCTTGGCTCAGACCCTTTTACCATCTTGCTCATTCCCTGATACAAGACACAGGCAGTAGAAGAGCATCCCCAGTGGAGGGGGAAGGGGCAGCACCTCCCATCCTGGTCCCTTTCTCTTGTGGCTCTGTGAGGGGCCTAGGGTGAACCAGGCCGGGTCCTGGAGAGGGGCAGAGGAGGTGAGGGCTGCCCCAGGTTGGGGATCCTTAGGGGCAAAGGAGCCACAGGGAGAGGCGCATGTCCTCCCGGCTCCCCGCCCAGCCCCGCCCGTGTAGCCTATGCGAGCTCAGCTCCCGGCTCCAGGGCCTGCCGAGGCACGCTGCCCCCCCAGGCCCGGCGCCTCACTCGCCTCCCTGAGCCAAGAACCTGTTCTCCCAGGAATGCCAGGGAGTTCTCAGAGGACTTTATTTCCCAGGGGCTCAGGAAGCCCCAGAATCCTCTGGACCAGTGGGTCCTGGGAAACTAGAGAAAGATCAGGGACCCCTGGGACTCCTCCCTGCTCCCAGCTTTGTCCCATCCACACACTGACGCCACATTGCCTCCAACCAACAGCCATCTTTATTCATCGTGAGAAGGCTTAGGAAAGTTAAAGACAAGGGGGAAAGGCCGCTAGTGACATGTGCCCTCTGCCATGTGCCATCCTTAGCCTGGAGAAAAGCCTTCCTTTGCCCCCATCCCCTGGAGAGGCCCATCTGCCCTCTAAGAAAGCAACATAGCACCTTTTTCCTTGGACTCTTCATCTGTTCTAGCCAGGAAGTCCTACCTGATGTCTAACTTCCTCCTTTCTGACTTGAGTTGACACCTGGTCTTCATGGACCAGCAGAAACCCCATTGCCTGCACAGGGCCCAGGCACACAGGCAGAGACTGTCTTAAACCACATTGAAATGCCCTGGGAGCTTGGGCGCTGACAGGGACAGAAAGGCCCCACTCGCACTGCCCCTCTCTTATTCTCTCCAACTCCATATTCTAACGAAGTTGGAGTCCACTTCTGCCTGCCTCCCCATCCCCCAATAACAGAAGGATGGAGAGGACTGAGGTCCTATAGGTATGCCCTCCCCTCTGTTCTTCCAAATCACAGCCTGCCGGCCCTGCTGTGGCGGGCAAAGTGGAGTTCAGGAAGATTGGCCTCTGCAGCAGGAGCGACTGATAGACTTCAGAGAAAGGTCTCAGCATTTTAAGTTGAGTTTGACTGGACTCTGAGCACAGGAGGTGATTTCCTGAGTGGAGAGGCAGCCTTTGA